GGGGGCTAAGGGAGGAAAAAAAAGGGGGGGGGGGGAGGAGGGGACGCCCCACCCCCATCCCGGAGCCACCCCCGGCAGCAGCAGCGCCCCCGCCCCTCCCCCCCCCGGGGCCTTCCTGAGTGCGGGGGGAGGGGACAGCCCTGTCCCCAAGGGGGGAGGGGCAGGGGACAGCCCTGTCCCCAAGGGGGGAGGGGACACCGGCATTCCCCCGGGGGGAGGGGTCGCTCCCCACCCCCCCTAAGGCCACCCCCGGACTGTCCCCGTGTCCCCCCGTAAGGCTCAGGGACGCCCAGGATGTCCCCGGGTGACCCAGGACTGTCCCCACGTGGCCCTGGGCCACCCCCAGCCGTTCCTGAGCCCCCGAGGATGTCCCCGAGGGCCACCCGGGATGTCCCTGGGCCACCCACGGTGTCCCGATGTCCTCTCGAGGCCCAGGACTCCTCACAAGGGCCTTGGGCCACCACTCCTGTCCCCGCAGGTCCCTGTCCCCAGGTGAGCCTTGCTCCCCCCTCCCAGCAGATGCCCCCAGGTCCCTGGGCCACCGGGATGTCCCCAAAGGCCCACCCAGGCTGTCCCCACAAGGCCCCAGCTCCATCCAGGGGGTCCCCATGAGACCTGGACCCCGCTCAAGGTGCAGCCAGGTGACCCCGGCAGGTCCCAGGTCCAGCCACGAGTTCCCCCAGATCCATCCGGACATCCCAGCTCCATCCAGAACATTCCTGGACCCACAGAGGGTCCATCCACGGCTCCCAGGTCCATCCCAGGACATTCCAGATCCATCCAGGACATCCCAGGTCCATCCTGGCCACCCCAGGAGCTCCTGGGTCCATCCAGGACGTGCCCACCAAGGCCTGGAGTGCGCTCCAGGTCCCTCCAGGCGATGCCCAGATCCATCCAGGAGCCCCTGGGACACCCAAGGTCCGTCCTGGCGCTGCCGTGTCCCCCCGTGGGCGTCCCCAGCGTGTCCGTGGCTCAGAGCTGGAGCTCAGTGGTCACCTCAGAGCTGTCCTGGGTCACTGTCCCTGTCCCCAGAGCTTGGTGACCACCTCGGAGCCATCCTGGGATGCTGCATCCGTGTCCCCAAGAGCTGCAGCTCAGTGGTCACCTCAGAGCCACTGCTGGGTCACTGTCAATGTCCCCAGAGCTCGGTGGCCACCTCGGAGCCATCCTGGGTCACTGTCCCTGTCCCCAGAGCTCAGTGGTCACCTCTGAGGCCCTCCTGGGTCACTGTCAATGTCCCCAGAGCTCGGTGGCCACCTCGGAGCCACTCTGGGTCACCGTGTCCGTGTCCCCAGAGCCACCCTGGAGCTGTCCCCGGTGTCCCCTGCGGTCCGTGCCAGCCGGGAGCCGGGGGCGGGCGGCCGTGGCTCAGAGCTTGAGCTCGTTGGCCACCTTGGAGGCGATGTTCTTGAAGGCCATGGAGGTGCCGGCGATGCGCTTGAAGCGGACGCCGTTGAGCGAGAGCCGGGGCAGTTTGCACACCTCCATCTCCCACTGCACGAAGGAGTCGTGGCCGGGCGCGCCGTGGGCGCAGAGCAGCACGAAGCGCTCCTGGGGCTCGCAGCGGCAGCTGTTGGCGTCCAGCACCTTGCGGATCTCGCGCAGCATCTCCCCGGGCTCCAGCGAGCTCGTGGTCTTCATGCTCCACGTGAAGCGCAGCGAGCGCGGCTTGGCGTCGCGCCCGGCCTCGCGGGGGTCCTTCTCGGGGCCCACTGCCGGTCTGAGGGGGGAAACGGGGGGTTAGGGGGTGCAGCACCTTGCGGATCTCGCGCAGCATCTCCCCGGGCTCCAGCGAGCTCGTGGTCTTCATGCTCCACGTGAAGCGCAGCGAGCGCGGCTTGGCGTCGCGCCCGGCCTCGCGGGGGTCCTTCTCGGGGCCCACTGCCGGTCTGAGGGGGGAAACGGGGGGTTAGGGGGTG